GTAGTGGTGGTAGCAGTGGTAGTGGTAGTGGTAGTAATAGTCGTTGTTGTTGCTGTTCTTTTTGTAGTCGTCGTCGTCGTCGTCGTCTCGTCGTGGTCGTCGTCGTCGTCATCATCATCCTCGTCGTCGTCGTGGTGGTGGTGGTGGTCGTCATCGTCGTCGTCGCCGACGCCGCCGCCGTCGTCGTCGTATTGTTGTTTCTTTTCTCTTCTTCTTTATACGAGAAATGTAATAACATTGTCGCTGCCACTCTTATTCCTACGACTAAAACAAGCACGTTAACATGTCACCAGCATGATTTTGTAGCATTCTCGGTCCGATCCTTCTTCTCAACACCATTTTCACAGAGCCTCGGAAATTAGAAAAGAGGAGTTCTTTGGTCCTGCTTCGAGCGCGACTATACCCCACTATGGATGTGAAGCCTCGGCTGACTAATACCTTGCCCACCCTAAACCTTAGGCCCCTTAGACGACTTAGGCTTCCTTGTAGGGTTTAGGGGCTTAGGGTTCAGCGGTTTAGGGGTTTAGGGTTCAAGTCTGAGGGGCTTAGGATTTAGGAGCCTAGGGTTTAGGGCTTGAGTTTCGGGGTTTAGGTTTTAGGGTTTCAGTTGGGGCCTTGTCCAGGAAGACGATGATTGCCACCTGTGCAAACACAAGCACCGCGTAGTGCACAATGGCCTGCGGAACCAAGAGGCCTCAGCTGCTTCCAGGGCTCCACATAACCTCTAAACCTAAATCCTGCAGAACCCTAAACCCTAAATTGTATACTCGAAACTTGAACTCCGTAGCCCTAACCCTAAAGCCTAAATCCTAAACCCGAAGATCCGAGAACCCTCAAACGTTTCAAGCTTTCGCGAAGCCACGTGTGGGGCCTCATTCCTATTACAAGGCTTTTTGGGGATTAACTGGGGTTTACCTGGAGCCAAAAAAGGTTCAGGGTTTTTGGGTTTAGGGTTTTGGGCTTAGGGTTTAGGGAAGTAGGTAGAAGAATGGCCCCAAGCCCCTAAAAAAGCTATTATTGCATACTTTTAGGGTCCTTAGGGCTACACCCCCCCACCCCCCCCCCAATACTAAATATTCCAGTATACTATAACTATAATGTACCACAGAGGGATTATCTAATACCACTTTATAGGGTTCAGGGTTTAGGGAGCGTGTTAGCTGTTTAGGATTGAGTTCGAGGTTCTACTCCTTAGGGTTTAGGGCTTAGGAGTTTAGGGTTTAGGAGTTGAGGTTCAGGGTTTAGGTTTAGGAGTTTAGGGTTGAGGCTTAAGAGGGTTCAGAAACTTCTTGGTTCAGACTATAACCCTACACCCTACACCGTTCAGGATCTAGCAAGCTCGGCGCTGTCCTCAGCTTATGAGGAGGTGCCCAAAAATTCAGGATTCCTTCTTGGGGTTCGCATGAGAAGGACAATAGTACTTGTGGCAAATAAGGGCGACCCCCAATCTTTGGAAGCCCCCAGTATACTAAATGTGGTCTACTTAACGTGGTCCCTTTCATCTGGGCTACTATCGGGTCAGCACATCTCGTGCCAGGGAGCAGGGGTTCTGGCTTAGGGTTTAGGGTTTAGGCCAAGCATCAGCCGTCCCTCGTTGAGAATAACGTACCGTACACTGCCTCGACTATGGTGACCATGAGCGATGAATACGCCTGACAGGCTGTTGCAGAAGATCCTTCACTCCAAACCCTAAACTCTACCATTACATGACCCAAGGCCTCGTGGTTACCTACATATGCGTGTTTAAGTTTTCGGGTTAAGGTGTTTTCGGTTTAGGGTTTAGGGGCTCAAGGTTTTTTTGGTTACGGGGCTCAGGTATGTAGAGATTTCACAGCGGATAAATGGAATTATATCATTCTACCATGATTTAGGTGACTAGGGTGGGCCTTTTTGCACATCAAACCCTAAACCCTGGGCTTAAGTGCCTCGCTACATAGGAGTCGCAACCTAAATTAGACACCCAGTGTAATGGGCATCCTATATAATCCCCGACTATGAACCTTAGGATCCCTAATACTCTCTTCCGCAATGACCATGCTCGAAAAAGTTGAAACTTTATTATAGAGACCAAACAGGGAAGCCCAAAAAGTTCTACTGGCTAAGTAAGATTAGGAGCCCGAGTATGGTACCAGTTTAGCCCAAGGCTCATATAGCGGGTTCTGAACCCTGAAGCGCTTACTGGTGCTTAATGGAGAGTGCGGGAGTGGATAGGGCTTAGGCTTAAGGGGTTTAGGGTACTAGTCTCTATATAACCCGTATTTACTGTTATAAGAGTACTACATTCCCCCTAAGCACCAATGGTGAATACAGCCGGGGAGCATCGTCTGGTAAGTCCACTTGAAGTTTCCACTCAGGTTCCGAGTCCTCCTCTTCAGCAACTTCAGTACCCCTCGCCTCGACGAGCGAGCGGGCTTCAGGAACTTCAGTACCCATCTCCTCAACGAGCAAGCGGGCTTCTGCCACTTCAGTCGCCATGGCGTAATGTATACGAAGCCTAGATCATGGGGAAGGTTGTCCCACCGAGCCGTACGACTGAAGGCCGGCGGCCGATCTGTTCAAATCTAGGTTTTATCTGGGGGCTTCTCAAAGGGTTTAGGGTTTAGGGTTCAGGGTTCAGGGTTTAGGGTTTGAGGTTTGGGATTTCCGGTGCAGGGAGTACCTACAGACCTTGGGTTGTATCTCGTGGCTTGGGCATCGGCATTCAGTGGTTAGAGGGTTCCGGTTTGAGGTTTGGGGTTTACACAGCCGATAGGCAACAAAAGTTGAGGTTGTCCGAGGTGCAAATGCCGTTCTTGGCGGTGTAAGGATAGCTCTGCTCGGTGCAGACCTTGGAAGCTGCTCCAGGGAGGGACGAAACTGTCGGAGTCCGACCCTAGAGAACGGAATGGCGAACAATCAAATGCACAACTCTGAGCCCTACACTCCAAACTCCAAAGCTCAAGGTCCAAACTTAACTCCCAATCCTAAATCCTGAGAGACTCCCAATTGCTTCAACCAACCTACAGTTCATAGGAAAGCAGAGAGAAACACCGGTGCAATCCCTTCAGAATCGCGGCCATAAGGCATAACAAACTGTTGCAACAGTGTTAATGGAATGAAGTACCGAAGGACGGGAGCTGCTTGCTCCTCATACTTGAAGCCGTTGTCCATGAGGCCTCCGCTGCAGCCCTCGTTGCCGAAGTTCTTGGAGCAGTCGACCAGCCTGGGCAATTCACCAGAACCGTTTTCTTACAGGTGCCTAGTCAAAGCTATATACAACCTATCAGAATGAAAGCAAACCTGATAGGGCCCACGAACCCGAACAGTCCTTAACATCAGCGGCAACCACAACCACCGCTAGTAGGGGATTGGTAACAAGAGCAAAGCATTCGCCGACCTCGGGACGATGCGTTTTCGTGGCTAATCCCCTACCGGCGGCGGACTTCGGACGCTTTCGGACGGCTGCCATGCGAGCAGCGAATTTCCACCGCCAGTAGGGGATTAGTGGCAATAACGAAGCGCCGGACAACGAATTTAACACGCGTGCCAAACTAATTACCATTTTTAGGGATTAGTAATTAGAATGTACGGTTTAGGGTTTAGGGTTTAATTAGGGTTCGGGGTTTAAGGTTTAGGCTTGTGCGTGCCAGCGCTGGGAAGGTTTCCCCACGATGACTTCAGCAGCCTTCTTTGGAAGCGGAGCACTCACAAGCAACAGTCTCTACAGGCCCAACAGTCTTAGTCGCATGGACGACAAATGACGAAACAATGAATGCGGTAGCACGACAAGTCACCTGAGCCCGAGCTTGTTCATGATGAACTCATCCAGCGTCATGTCCGAGAACTCCTTGACCCAGTTTGTAGGAGTGGTCCTTGGCGTTCTCCCGCTGGATGTAGTCGTAGTTGTCGGCGAAGGTGCCGAAGCGAGCCTGCTTCTCCACCGCGTCGTAGTCCATGCCGAAGTCCTTCAGGAAGTGGTCGAATGCCTGCTGCAGGTCGGCACGGGGCTTTTGGGCCTGCGCCAAGCCCATTAAGCAGCATGCGACGCCGAGGGCCCTCGCCATGGTTCCAAACGAAAGCGCTGAGCACAACCGCGGTCCTCTGAATTTGGTCCACCCAAATGTCCCTGGATCTAGAAATAGCCGGAGTCATTGCAACGCTACAGAGAGCTCATGAGTCATAGCAAGTAGCACTACTCTATACTACTTAAGAACCACACAGCAGCGTTCGAGGCTAGCGGGAAAGTCGCCTCTACGGCACTGCAACGGCGTCCCAAAAGCATGGGGACCCCATCAGATGGCAATCAAAGCGGGACATCGCCGCCGACTTCGGACAGATCCAGGTCCTGGCACCACACGGATAACGGATGCATGCAGTGGCAACGCGAAGACTACACTGACTACACGCCTCTGCCATGTTCGGACCGGGTCGGCCGTACCACGAGTTAAAGTTCCTGGATCTAGCAGCTGACGAATTGCGTGACTTAGCGCAGGGAAGGGTTCTGTTTTGGAGAGCTCACATTCCGACCTTGTCACAGACCTCAATGTTGCTCACGGAACCATCGCAGTCCTAGCCAAGGCTCGCGCTTTGGTTGCTTGGGGTTTGAAGATGTCAGGCGGAGTCTGCACAGATCCGGATCTGCTTCGGACTTGTTGGGTGTTTGATGCTCTGTAGCATGAAAACTAATAAGACAAATATCTTCTCTGTGCGCCAAAGCCATGTTGAGGACGAAGCTCCCAACATCTCCCGTTTCAGCCCGGGCCTCCCAAACCCAAACCGTGGCCAGCAACTGTACACGGTCAACCCAAGCTACCTTGAAGAGGCACATCAGCACCAAGAGGTTTAAGTATGCTGCCCAGAGGATCAGAGTGTCGGCTGCATTCACATCATGTCGGAGTTCAAAACACGACGCAATCTGACCTATTCTGCATGCCTCCTGCCGCCCGAAGACATAGGGCACAAGAGGCACTCATGCGAAAAGATCTAGGCTTGTGCCCCGTGGGTTCTCAGTGTCGATGTCCTATACCTCAGAGTCTAGTCTAAGGACCTTCGATGACCCACGAAATCGAGATTGAGACTGCGCGTGCAGGATTCTGAGCCTTGGCCAGGAAATCTGCTGACGGCGGCTAGGCATGCCAGGCAAGGTGCGAGGCTAAGCACAAGACGCAATATCTGATCAGCTTCGGCATGCTTCGACCAATTTCTCCGCAATCAGGCACGGTGCATGGGATGCCAAGACGAATTAAACACTCTCAGTGTAACACTATCAGTGGCTCTGACAAGGTTGCATGGCTGCTGCACCGTGTTTTCGTGGCGGCCAGAATTGTTCTCATCACGTGGCGTGCAGTACTTTCTCAAGTGCATACCACTGAAAAGACAGGATCAGGAGCTGATATGTTGCAAAGACATTGGGACCGAGGGCTTCCAGCATTCCTCGCGTCACTGGGGGTGAGATGGATTTGGACCATGCATCCGTCAAGTAGGACAGCGTCACCAGGTTCTCCATGGAACGCCAGGTCCCATCTTTAGCGTGAAGGAAAGTATTGCCCTCAGCGATCCCCACACAGCAAATCATGCACGGATAGATGATTCCACTGCCAATAAGCAGGATGTACGGGCCATTGATGAAGTCGTAGAACGACAGGCTACCTATGAGGCCTGCAATGGACAGGACAACGACCAAAAGGTTGTCACTGATGTTTAGGTTCTCGCGCAGCTGGAACATCAGCAAGCTGCCGAATGCCGCAACCATGTACACCACGCTGACGCCCAAGCTGACTGCATCGATGCCCCACGAGAACTGCACCTCGAGTAGAAGGGAGCTTGACACCTCCACGCCGGTGTAGCCCACGGAGCCCAGAAACTGGCAGAAGAGCCCAGTCAGTGTAATCCAGGAATTCGGCAGCTTTCCAGGCTTGCTGTCAGCTGTCACAGTAGCCTCTTCGGCATCCTCGTGGGTGGGCTCCTCGTAGGTCGGAAGCCCTTCCATGCTTCGTGGCAAGCTCACCGCGTTCATGCAGGACACCAGCATCAAAAGGCCGCCGCAGGCCTTGGCGCATGCGCAAGACCGGTCCATGGCCGAGACGGGAGGGCTGATCTCGGAGAGCGTGCACAGTGTGGAGATGACCCACGGCAAGCCGGCACCCATCACAACGCCGCCAGTCCAGCTGAAGTTCACGAACATAGAGAGCCCCACCTGCTCGTCGCGAGGTGTTAGGAGCCGGGTGATGGCACTGTTCGTGATGCAGCTGCCCTGCAGCAGTCCAACGAGGAATCGCAGGATCAGCCCTGCAAAGTAGCCGTGGGTCCCGCCCAGGTGGAGCATGTGCGGCATGAGCAGCGAGAAGCCTCCTGCAAACAGAGGGCAAAGTATGATGAGCCGGCGCCGGAAATCGTAGGAGGCGTTGCCAAGGAGGTGGCCGACGAGCAGGCCCACGACGTTGCCAATCTGGTCCCAGGACAGGAAGAACCCTGAAGCGGTGGCGCCAAACTGCCAAGTGGCCACCAGGTCCAAGGAAAGCGTAATAGGCCAGGCATAGACGATCATCTGGACCATGCTCCGGAACACGTCCGCGGCCTGCAACCACCTCCTCTGAAAGGGGACAGTCGAGGGCTCGAGGCCCAAGAGTTTCCGTGCGAACCACTTGCTGGGCTCTTCCACTACATGGCGGGACAGCCAGCCTAGGAGCAGCAAGGTCACCACAGTGAGGACAATGTCCAGAAGGTCCCCCAAGTTATGGTGCCATAGGCAACCATTCTGGTAGCGACATGCCAGGAGGCTCTTTCCGCCTGAGGACGAGTAGAAAAGGCCGACTGTTTGTAGCACGGGCTGCTGAAAGACGTAGAAGCCGTAGCTGACATTTCCAAGCTGCACGAGGAAGCTGGAGCTGAGCAATTGACCAAGCATGCTCTTACGAGGCCCGAAGCACAAAGCCCACACAATCCAGGCCGTCACGGGGCATTGTAGGTTCATGTCGCTGCAAAGGTACGTGAGTGGCGTCTGTGGCAGAAACGTGAAGACCAGCACGACGGCCGCCAGCACGTCTGCGGCCGTAACGAGCCCCGGAGCGTCGGCAGCGAAGTAAGGGATGAGCATGCCCAGGGCAACCTCCGGGAGTCGGAAGAGCGCGAAGCTGTACCAGGGCACCTCAAGGCCAAGGAAGGTGTGCCGATACCAGGGGTCCTTCTCAAAGCCCCCATCGTTGAGGATGACCACAGCGAAAGCAACAACAACCATCTTTGCCGTGATGCACAAACCAGCCATGGTCAAGAGCCCTCTCTGAGTCCAGATGGGCCGCAGCAGACAGAACTCCAAGAAAGGGCTTAAGAGGTAGACTACGACCACCACGTGCAAGACCCAGAAGGTTGGAACAGTGCTACCAGGCACTCCTAGCAGGAGAAACAGGCGCCTGGGCTCATGGACCGCGATTCGCACGAAAGTGCTCGCGCACATAGAGATGAGATGAAAAGGATTGAGAATCCAGTCTGCTCCAGCA